ATGCGACAACCTCATACTGGAGAAATGCCAAAAAGATGAGGTGCTCCAAGTGTATTTTCTAAACCATTCCATTTTTTTTCATTCATGTGCTTTTCATTGACAGATAACATCCTTGGGAGCCAAATGCATCTTGCAGAAATTTCGCAGATAATCACTGTAAACAAAGATGGATCCTAATAGGCAGGTGAGTTCAGAATTGGATGGAGATTGATTAAGTATTGATGTCAGCCGGACAAGGCTGTTATTTGAAGAGAGTTGATCATTGCAACATCTTTGAAAAGAAAGTTCCTGACTGATCCATTCTTGGTAGTTGTAGGTGACAGAAAGTAAATGCAGGACATTAATGAGTGTTTTTTTAACTATAAACTACAGTTCTAAAGAACTAGAATATGATATCAAATTTATTATACGCATGTTAACATGAACTTAACTCTATTACAAGAACTCACGCTCTTATAATAACTTCAACTAAATCTAAAACTCCATTTCCCACTAGTTATTGTAAATACTACAGAAACATCAGATCACTAAAGAAAAAATAGATTAAAAAATAATCAACATATCTATATTTATAAATCATATTGCATTCGCAGCAGTATTTTCAAAAACAGAGAAAAAAATAGCCCAGGCCTAATAAATTATAAACTGCACAAATAAACCTGCTTCAGGCTACAAATCAAATCTGCATCGATTAGGAGGATAAAATCTGACAGTTCACATTGTAGTACACTTAGCTTATCAGACAATGGGAAATCAGGAAGCAAACACAAACACCTTACTCCCACCCGAAATGTAACATAAGATACCAACCCAAATCAATGCAACACTCATAGTACTCCACTAAAGCAAACATAAACCAATATAAAACAATATGGAAAACAAAAATTGATGAAATTCTCACAGGACACAAGCAAGCACAATGAAGGGTAACAACTGTCAGAATACATTATCAATACTATATGCAAAGAATAAATTGGTACTTTCTCTCATTTATTGTATTTCAAGGGGATGAAATGCACACCTTTCTTCCTGAGGCATTCCAGAGTGAATGCAGATAGATGGGAAGTTACAATCAGCAAGTAATTTGTTCAGCTCAGCTGCTCTGCTTACACTTTTTACAAAAATAACAACTTGGTTGAAATCCAATGCATCAAGAAGGTCAGTCAACTTGCGGTTTTTCTCAGGTTCACTCAATTTGATGTAGTGCTGCACACAGAGAGAGAGCATGAGGGTGAGCAAGCAAGACACAGTTAACCAACAACACAAAAGCTCATCAATCACATTACATAAATACCTGTACGAGACCATGAAGTGTCAATTTGGCCTCATCATCTACATAAATTTCCATGGGCTGCAACAAACAAATATGATCACAAATTGAATTAAAACACAAATCTTGCACCTCCAATACTCCATAATAAGCACACGCACAAAAGTTGAACAAACCAGACCAAACATCACCATATATCAAATTTTATAAATATTGATACAAATTTCAAAATAAAATAAAATTAGGGTTTAAACAATCTACAATCATAAGAAGCTGATTATTTGTAAGTTCATGTTAAGGTTTAAGCAAATATTACATCTTGCATAAATTTCTTGCAAACAGGGCGGATTTCTTTGCTTAGTGTTGCTGAAAACATCATCACTTGCTTGTCATGAGGAGTCAACTTAAAGATCTCCTGCACATCTCTCCTCATATCTGAAAAAGTTGGAAGAACAGGAAAATTAAATAAAACTTAACATAAAATAATTTTCATTACAGAAAAATACTGGTGAAGTCCCCTTTAACAAGATTAATCTTAAAAAATTACCAAGTGACTCAAGCATCTTATCACATTCATCGAGAATAAAATGTCTGACATTCTTTAGTCCAAGCTCTTTATCTCTTGCCAAAGCTAATATTCTCCCAGGTGTTCCAACAACAATGTGAGGACATTCATTTTTCAGCAAGTCTTTGTGAACCTTGATACTGACACCTCCATAGAAGACTGCAACCTTTAGGTCCGGCAAATAGGTACTGAATCTCTCAAATTCATGACAAATCTGTAGCAAAAAATAATAATAGTAGCTTCATTAAACAGAACCTCAACATAGAATCGTATGGCCAAAACAGCACCAGCTTTATATCCAAAATGCATTTGTGCATCAACACATATATGCATGCATAATGCATATATCAGAATTTTAATAGTTAGAAATCGGAGTTCTCTACACTGATAATGAATTCATTGAGCATACCTGGTAAGCCAGTTCTCTTGTGTGGCAAAGAATAAGAGCAGCAACCTGACCAGCAACCGGATCTATTTGCTGAAGGGTTGATAGAACAAAGACGGCGGTCTTTCCCATCCCAGATTTTGCTTGACAGATAACATCCATTCCTAATATAGCTTGAGGGATGCACTCATGTTGAACTGATGAAGCAAACAAAATTGTACCGGACGAAACCTCAGTAAGTATAAATGACCTTCCAGATCCTTTTAATGGAAAGGTTTACCAAACCAGTTTTCTTGCCGAAATCATGAATATGGAATTAGTGATTACCTGGACATAGAAAAAATAGAAAACTCAGAAATAGTCAACCACAAAAGATGATTAAATAATTAAGGACAATCTTGCCATTCTCACATTCCATGTAAAAGAAATCAATTGATGAGAGAACGTTTAGCATCTATAATTCATTATAGATGTAAATTACACACTTATGTTAGTAATTCATGTGGTACAGCCAACAGATATGAAACAACAGACCAATGAAATCATGCACTCGAGAACTTTAAAGATGGACAACGTATAGATACTAGACACATACTGCATTGAAATTCAAAATTCAGAGACCCATCCAACGAATTGATAATACCCAAGTGGCATAGCATAGAAATACTACGACGGCTAAAAATATATGAAAAGAACTCATTCATCTACTTGTAACCAGGAATGCAGAAATGAGATGCAACGCCACATAATTATGCAACATAATTCTTCCGACCACAGAATCAGAAGTCCAGCAGACTCTTGACACAGATATATAATTATAACAATGAGAGGAACTTTGCCTTCTGAAGGATGTTCGAATCCAGAATCCACAATCGCTCGAAGAAGCTCTGGTTTCAACAGGAAGTCTCTGAATCCTGAACTGTGGATGCCAACATAGCCCCTGCACCATATTACATAGGAGTTTAGAAAAAATAAATAAATTTGAGGGATCCATAACAAATAAAACCTCATGTAATCTGAAAATATGAAATGCGTAGAAGATTAGCAAGATGTATCAACAAATTCTCATAACAAATTTGATGTAGTTGAATCACAGCATACAGAGGAAGAGGCAATATACACATTAAAGCATTACCCTCCAATAAGAAAATATGAAAAATGCAATTCCATCAAATCACAATACTGAACCCCAGAGTTTTACGCACAATAACCACAGTGATGCCAAGAGGAGCTTAACCGGGAACACCTTTCTTTTGTGAGAACATGGACTTAATAAAAACTACAGTGAGGTTTTATCACAATGTTTAACCTTATTTGGTCGAGCATATCTTTTAGAAACTTAAGCACTGTAGAAGCACGAAACTGAATTTGTTAGGTTCTATTTTATTATAAGAAATTTGGGTCTGTCTCTGTCCATCAAGACATCTAAGTCAAATTTGACAAAATCTCTTGTTTTTTTTTTGGTAAACTTATATTCCAAAAATGAAAACATTCTGAAGAAGCGAACAAATCAAATCCACAATTACTTTCTCCACTTTTTTCCTCAGTTTTCACAGTGACCAAGCAAAGTACAAAACAGTACAAATAGCACAACCACAAACCAACCAAAATCAACATTAAAAAGTACTTTTTTTATCTATACGTACACAAGCAAACAGCCCAACTGACTGGTGATAGTAAAATGGAAGATGCGAAATTAAGAAAAAGTTCAAGATACTAACTTTTTAACAGTATCACCAGACGGCTTGGCGGAGACGGAGTTGGGGGCATTTTGGTCCTCCTCTTCATAATCGACCAGCTCCTCTTCGTAACCATCGTTGTCTCTGATTTCACCCATGCTATAGAACCACAACAAAATTTGAGCTCGAGCGTTAGGGTGTTTCTAAGAATTGTGAATCAGAAGCTTTAAGAACTAGTTGAACTGCTTTGATACGGTTTAAATTGCCTACCTTTGAGCTTCCACTGAGCAAGAGAGATTCAGAGTAATGATCTACGAGTGTCGAGGCCTATGAGAAAATTCAAAAACAATAATAACAAAAATTGAAAATTGAAAATGTTTGGGAGAGAAGAACGGAGCGAATGGATATAAACCCTGGATCTAGGGTTCGGGAGGAGGGGAAGAGTGGACTTGGGATTCGAAGGTAGGGGAGAAGATATAGGGAGCGTGACGTTAATGAATGGACGAAAGTACCCTCCCAGTTGCGAATTTAGAGATATTTTTGAAGGACGTAATGGTCACTGCGAGGAATGGATATTTCAAACTCAAAATCATGTCAGAAGGGTAGCGCGAGGATAAGAGGGGTGCAGTGCAACCGAAAATTCAAATAAGTAGAAGGAAAAAACCGGACCAAACCGAACCGAAAAGGTTCGGCCGATTTGGCCAATTTTCGGGTTAAGTTGCCCAGCCCTAGATTCAGTTCTCGGCTATTTGTATCCCCTAGGACTTTGAGAATAAATGTGAGTTTGATAGAAGACACACAGAAGATTAATTTGCATAGCCACACGTCTATAAAGGAAATTTTCTCCTCCGGGGTCACCTCCTCCATAGACCACATATGATGTCACATGTGGGGTGCAACTTACAGGCATAGGAGGCCTCATTCTTTGAATGTCAAACATATCATCATCAAGATGTTTCCACTATAGGCGGTGAGGTGAATATTGTGGGCTCCATATTCTTCCCCACTCCAAGCTTTCAATACTGCAGCAGGCTTAGGCTATATTTTAAGCCCATGGTCGATTTCGCTAATGTTAGGCCCAATTATTATTGAACTGAAAAAGAGGGTAAATCGCTTTAATTCAGAAGCACCGCACCCGAGGTCATGTGTTCGAATCTTCTCTTGTCCAATACCACTCGTATCAAAAAACAAAAATAAATCAATAAAGACTTTATTCATTGGGTTGTTTTCTACATACCCCCAATAACCATAACAAGCAAAATCCGATGGCAAACAGATAATGCCAAAGCACCAAAACCATTACAAACCAGAGCCAAAATAATGACCTGAAAACAAAGAGTCCTGCTGCACTCCTATCTCATCTGGCTACATGCTTGAAGTGGATAACGCTGCTGAAGCACCACCATTACAATGATTAAACCCATACCAAATACCATTGGGAATAAAAGAGTTGTAATAAAATGTGACAGATTTGGTGTAATGACCATAGATTGTCACTGTCTGTGTTTTCCACCCATCGTATCCATTCCTATAGAGATACACATAACAGATCTGGTACGCACATGGCCCAGAAATCTGAAATGTATCCGTGGAGCAACTCTCGAATGCCCTCGAAGATGGATCGTCTATTCTGGGTGCATACACCTGATCATCATCCGAGACATAAATAACATTAATAAATGACTAATTACCCATTATGCAGAAATATATATAATCTTCTTTTGTGGATTATATTAGTTGTAATTGCTGCACTAATGTGATCACGCTGACACGTAGAATTATATACTGTCCATGTTACGTTGTTAGACTGTTAATCCGGACAATACATATCCGAACATGAATTTTTCAATGTCTAATTGAAGTACCTGATTGCCATAAGCATCACCAAATGCAATACTGATCTGATCTCGTGTGTATCTGGGTGAAGAACAGCTAGTCTTTATTGATACTGTGTAGGAACAACTCCCTGCATACTGTGAGAGGCCATAACAGTTAAATTCTCATATAGAATCAATATATTGCCCTCTTTCTCTGGTTCAATAACATCCACCACTTGCAAACAAATCAACGATTTGAATCAATTTTTTTCACCTAGGTACTTGATCTTTCATAGGATCTTGTCTTTTCAGCAAAATCCCAGGGCAGAAATTTCTGGTTCTTTTTTCTGTTTTTCTCCACGCAGTACAATACTACAATTTAAGTCTCCGTATATAAATCTATTTATCAAGAATTGCTTCCAAATGAATTGATCATACCTGGTTATTGCTGAGCTTGAAGGATCTGAGAGGTTGGGGCTGTGGGATGATTGATCGGCCTTGTGTTAAGGTGAAGAGGAAGGCAAAATGAAGCAGAAAACTCACAGCCTTCATCATTTTTGTCTTCTCTTAACCCTTTTCAATATAGTCTGAACAGAACGTGGTGCCATCTTTATATACTAGAGCTCTCTCTCTCTCTCTCTCAAGCATTAATCTCTTTGTCATGTTGCTAACAAATCATTAGTTGTAACTTGTATTAGGTGAGAACCACCGTAGATTCAGTGCACTCAAAACTTAATTCACTGTTGGATTTACATACTAACATGAAATTTCCTTTTTTTCTTTTTTTGTCATTTTAAAAAATACAAACTATAGATTAAATTATAAAATGAATAAGAAGTTCGAACATGAGACTATCTGCAAGTTAAAGTCTTTTTTCATCGGGCTATACCCCTTGCTTCTTTGTCATGTTGTTAACACAGCATTAGTTGTATTAGTTGAAACCACAGTAGATTCAGTGCACTAAACAATTAATTCACTGTTGGATTTACATAATAATATGAAATTTCCTTCTTTGGTTTTTAGTAAGTAAATAATATGAAATTTCAGCCACAAGTGGAGCTGGACAATTTTACACACCAGCCCAGAGTGAAGTAATGTATATTAATGAAGTCAGTTCCAAAAGGACAAACAACATTTAATGTTCCATCCAGCGCAGGCCACCACGTGTACACCTGCACACATGTACACCTTTTGGTCCTTTAATTTTTCCTTTCGTTGTCTTGTCTGCCAATTTAGCTTGGCTGGCAGGACCTCAGTTAAGTATCAGGCATAACAGTCACTTGTTTTTCTTTGGCTGAACTTTAACCCTTCATTGTTTTTTTGCGACACTTGTTATAGAATTAGTCATATGGTTTCCAATTTACACACCTTTATAATTCCCTTCTACGTAAATAAGGTTAATTTAGAAACATTTTAATTATTACTTCTATATAAAATAAAATAAATTAAATGAAAATAATATCTAGTCAAATATTGGGAAAAAACATCCATCAACAGATAGTTAACCCATCAGGAGCCTCATCAAAGAACCAAATTCTCAGGTCTAAATTTTAGCTTCAATTTGTCAAACAATCCGCAACACAATTTTTTTTCATGTAAAGGTGAATAAGCTGACAATTTCCAATTTGTCTTATGAAATCACAACAACCATGCCCCAAAGTACTAAACCTTTTTTTTGCTAATAGACAAACACTTAAGTATTATCATTACATATTCAACTTGTTTATGAAATAGCTTCATTGAATGCATATCATAACATATAATAATCTTGACTATGAGTTATCACTTCCAATTTGTAATGATAAAGTCAGTCCTAATATTTACCCTTAAACTCATTGAAATTGAAAAGATATACAACAAACCCATTAAAACAGGAAGAGAAAAATATGAATGGGCCAGAACGGTAGGGAAGAGCTAAAGTAAAACGAAGCTACCAATACCAAAGAAGAGAACGGGACTGTTGGAGAATTTGAAGGAAGCCATGGAAAGTAAAGCACCAAGCAAGAAAACCTTCGCAGAGGGGGGCCGACACATGGGAGGTCATCAAGGTTATTTGAATTATTATACATTGATTGAAATCTCTTCCACCTTTACCATGCAAGCAAATATTACAAAACTAGCTTGACAAACCCGATGAAAATGCAGTTGACCTCACATGCTATTCTTATTATCTTGCTTGGTCTCAAACATGCTAGTTAAAGTTGATAGTGTAGAAACTGATTTTCCCTTATATTATTCATATGATTATTATACAATATATATAAAATCTGCAGAGAATAATCTACAATTACAACAAGTCATTATCACAAACATAAATATGGAGTTATGGCCTAATAACAACGTAACTGACAATTGACCATTTCCTATCATTAGTATGATTAACTATTGTAACTGAAATACTATTGTAACTCCATAACAAGCAAAAAAGGATGCGTGCAGAGAGAAAAGAATGAATATTTGAAGGGAATAAAGAGGCTAAGAGAGGATGCAGCACAACCGTAGAGGATAGGAGGTGAAACCAACCTGGGACACAGAGAAAAGAAAACGAGAGCGTGGGCAAATTTGAATTTCAAAGCACCATAGAGACAATAAGATATGGGGAAGAAAACCACGGGGGAACAGAGAAATAATAAAGAGAAGATTATCACAAGAGGATAGAGGCCCATATAGATTAAAATAAAGAGGGATGATTGACCCAAAAAAATAAAATAATAAGAAATAAAGGAGGAAACCAAGTGAGACAGAGAAATGAAAAGAGAGTGTAGGTAAAACACAGAGTTAAAATCCTTTCAAAATAAAGACGGAAAAATGAGAGAAAGAAAGAGATGAGAAAAGGTAACACCCATCAAAAGGAGAAAGTAGGCAAGAAAGGGAGAGAGAACAAGATGCAAGAGACAACCCATGAAAAGGAATGGAAACTCAAGATGCCAAAGACAACCCATGACAGGGAGATAGACAACACAATTGAAAAGAAGAGAGGAGAATATCCCAGTAACATAAAAGAATTATAAAGAAAAGAAAACAATACCCTTGCAACAGAGAAGAAGAAAGGCAAGGCAAGAGAGTATTGAAGAAGACAGAGACCAACAGTAAAATCAAAGAAAGAGATTGGGCTGAAGAGAAGAGAAGAACACATGTTGAGCATAGATAGAGCGTGAGAGGCCGATACCACAGAGACAACACAATGATAGGGCGTGAGTGGCTGATACCAAGTTGGCAACACAGAGGAAGAAACAGGGGTTGTGCAAAGGAAACACCGGCAGTGTAGCACAACAGAGAAGGCTCGGCGAGCGCTGACGAGGCTCGCGGGTAGAGAGCATAAGAAGGAGAAATGGCTCAATCATCAACAGAGAGCTAGACAAGGAGAGAATGAAAGATAAAGGCTCATCAATGAGCAGAGAGCTTGACAAGGAGAGTTGAAAAATAAAAGGAAATGGCAGCAACAAAGAGAAAGAAAAAAAAAATTACTGATTATAGAAGGGAGGAGAATATGGAGAACTATACATAAGCAAACACCCTTTCGGGCGAGGAGAGCCACCGACTCTCAATGTTGGCAAAGGAAGGACTGGTTTTTAGCCATTAGCTCTGATACCATGTAGAAACTGATTTTCCCTTATATTATTCATATGATCATTATACAATATATATAAAGTCTGCAGAGAATAATCTACAGTTACAACAAGTGATTATCACAAACATAAATATGGTGTTATGGCCTAATAACAACGTAACTGACAATTGACCATTTCCTATCATTAGTAGGATTAACTATTGTAACTGAAATACTATTGTAACTCCATAACAGATAGTTTAATCGTTTTAGTTTCCTCTAATATCTCTTTGATCCAGCAGAAAATATTGCATTTCTATGCCACACATACATTAAAACAGATAATGGAAAATCTAATTATCTAACTTTAAGAAACTCTTCGTAATTTTTTTTTATGGGTAGACTCTTTAAATGAATGAAAAATCAGACTTAAAGAACTTTTCTATCTCACACGCCCTTTGTAGGCATTTGATGAGAAAAATAGATGAATGGCATTCAATATCCATTTTTTGAGGTTGTGGAATAAATGTGATTGGTTTTTTTTTTTTTTTTTTTTTTTGTATAAGCAATAGTCTAAACTACATAGGAGGGGATTTCTCTCTCTCACACACACAATAAATGTGATTGTTTTGTTAGGTAGATGGTGTCTCATAGAAATGGTCAAAAGTCTTGGCCATTGTTTGATGTGATGGGGCTGAACTTATTAAAATGGGCAATAGTCCCGCATATTGTGTCTTACAAGTCACATCTATAGAAGTGGGACTCATAAATTCATATGACACGGGACACTTTTACACTCTGGCATGTTATGTTGGCAAAGCATAAAAAACAATTCCCTTCTTTTTATAAAACAAAAAAAGCCATGTCTAATAATTTTATTACACAAACATAGTAAATAATTAATACAAACAAATCTCAAAAGGAAAATGAATATATCTATTAATTTAAACACATCCCTTTTTCTTTCTGTTGAATCTATTCTCTAGTTATGCACATTGGTTTATGGCCTTGTAGGCATTGAAGAGTTGATCTTATACCTTTTGGCGAAACCTTCATTTTAAGAGGGGATTTTTTTTTTTTTTTTTTTTATAAAAGAAGAAGAATTCAATTGTAAACAAAAAGATATACCAATTTATAACCAAAAAAAGGTATACAAATAACGACACAAATACAATGGCCTTGTTAAAATCTTCCTAGAAAAAACCACATGGGCAAACTCCATATGAGGAAAGAATACCTTAAATGCTAAGGACTAACAAGAGAGTCCGACCCAGGCCATATTAGACCGCTACAAGAACCAAAATGTTAAGAAAACCAGACTAGGCACCAACAGAGTAGACCTACATGAGAGAACCGCAACGCATCCCAATTGTCAAAATAAGCCTTCTATAAGAACTCATAGTTCATTGTGCAGCAGAAGAACTACAGAGCACACCAAAGGTCAGAGACACAACAGAGCACACCAAGAAAATCACGGAGACGATAACAGAGAGAAAACCCATGGAAGCACACCAACTCAGAAGAGAAAATCTGCAAAGGGGCAAGACAGCGGGAGACACAAAACAAAAAATAACCCGAACGAAGAACACCCTTTAGAGAGCACACCACCGAAGGCTGACACTGGCAAAGGAAACATAGTCCGTTGGGCAGCACATAGATTGAGAAGCATGCTGAAACTCAGAAGACAGTATGAAACACTACACTAAACAAAATACAAAAAAAACACAGACGCGACCAGTGAACCCTAAACAAAACAAAGCAGCACTATAAACCCAGCAAATAACAACCCACCACAGCATAAGATTGTCAAATAAAAACCTCCTACGCGTGCATAGTTCTTTCTACAGTGCAGAAAGCCGGCCGTGAGTGTCAAAGCAAAGCCAACACAAGCACTAAATGTCATCTTCTTGTTTCTTAATCTAAACCCCTATGATCAATACATGCACCTGAAGCATCCGAGAGCATAAGGTAACTCCCAAAAAATTGCTCAAGGTCATGAAAAATTGTTTCTATCTATATGATCAGTGTCATTAGGAATATACTTTTGCAAAATATTCTCTTATTTTTGTAGCCACTTTTCAATTAGAAACCTTAATGGTGCCTCAATGTGTTGCTCAACTGCTAAGGACCTTTATTTTATACAATCTGCCTCAATGTAGTGCGCAATGTATGGCTTGCCAGGAACCAGGGTTATTTTATAGACTACAAATATTTTATGGAGTAAAAATCTGATTATTAAACTTTTGGTATAAAATATCTAATTTCTAAGTTTTATTACCAACACACACTTAGTTTAATGGTATTTCTCTTCAAAATAATGAAAAAGTTCTGAAGTTCAAACCCCAGCCCAAGTTATTGAGAAAAAGTTGGCTGCAAAACATAAATTGATTATCGCTCATTAAATCTGCAATGATATGGAATTAAGAGTTTTGGAAACAGTTTACATAAAGTTAAATAACAAGCAATTGCTTAAAGCTGCGAAACATAAACATATGGTCAACAAACTGCCACAAGAACCATCTTGGCTTCCGCTGCAAAAGCCTACTATAACTTAGCCTACTATAACTACATTAGAGCATCCACAATGGACTCCCTAAACCACCTCCTTAGACAAATTTTAGGGAGGAATCGTAAAAATGCAACTCCAACCACGCTCCCTATCCATCTCCTAAAATATGAAGTCCTCTAGGAGCTCCTAAATCTGAGAAGAAAGAAAAGACTTCTAGTGACTCCCTATAATTTAATGATACTTTATTTAATGAGTATTTCAAACTTTTATTTAATGCTAACTATTTTTTATTTTATTTTATAATAGAAATGGACCAATCAAAAAAGAGTCATAGCATTTATGACTATCTAAATTAGAGAGTATGGTTGGAGTTGAAATTTTTTAGAGAGTTCCTAAAATAGCTTTCTTATATTCTTAGGCAGATAGTATAACATATTTCAAAACAAGGAACTGACTTAACATTATGTTCAGAATATTGAAAAATGCGGGTATTTACTATTTTCCTATTATCTTCTCCCCACCGAAAATGCAAGAACTAGAAGTTTGAAAACATAATGGCTGTCACAAAGCCTGGACAACATACTGGGCATGAATTCAGCAGTGCCGCTGTTACAACAAGAAGCTTTTGGTTCAACGCTCACTTGGAAGCTTGATTTAAAACTCAGTAGGAGGCTTTAACCTTATTAGTCTCTTGATTCTGTCTTTTTCCGTATTCTCCAGCAACCCCTGCAAAGTATAGGAAAACAGATGTCAAAGAAGATAAAATTCAACATTATAAAGCAAAATGTTAGGCAGCAATATAGAATTGCCATGTAACATGAAGTCAGTATGTGAAGATGAAACAATGGATAAGAAGCAAAGCTTTCTATCAACCTATCAACCCAAATAATAAAACGAAACTAAAAGAAAGGTAAGGCTTGCTTTTAATGTAATTATAAAGGAACGTTGAAAATTTCCATATTTCCCATTCTAATCGGGAACTGTGATTTAACATTTAGTCTTGGATGATTGTGAGCCTCCACCACCCTGCCACTAAAATAATACCAAAGTGGTGTTGGTCTGACTACTATGGACAACTTCTACCACATGATTTTCATTGTGCTGTTGGGATGGTTGCTGTAAGATGCAGCCATCAAAGGAATTCCATACTAAATGATTTAACTTGTTGGATGTTTGGGTGAAGGATGAACAAACAACAACAATTTTTTTTTTTTTTAATACAATGCTTTAATTATTTAAAACTTATTCATCACCTCACCTTCCAAACAATTTCATCCAGACACAAGCAAATTCTTCCATACTTATCCAGGAAAAGGCGCTCAGTTGGAGGCTTCCCACATACATCCTTCACAGCTGATGTTATCACAAAGATCACCTCTGACACTAGCAAGAATCCATCCAGGTTAGAGAAGCAAAACCAGAAAAATCAAGCACGGCACACCTCTCCCATCCAAAAGAAATTGTTACAATTTGGCCAATCATAGTAAGCACCACAAAGCGAGTATCATTTTGAATTTGTTTACAGTAAGTGATGGTGTCAATTTTCCATTCAAAAAAGTGCTAGCTTTGGCCAATTGCACCAAGCACTAAAGCAGAGTCAGTGACTCAGTGATGTGTGGAAAGAGATAGCAGTTGTTTTTTACTTGTTTCTTTAGAGCAATGGCATAAATTTTCCTACTATAGCACTGGCCGGCTGTAATAGGTGAGAACCTTGCTATCATAAAGATATTTGACAACATGAATCTATTTTGGAAAGCATGCAAAAATTACACATGCAAAAGGGAAAAGCTTTTCACCTTAGTTGCAACTAACTAAACTACTGATTGAAAAGGTATCAAAAGGATGTGAAAACTGCTGGTTCAGAACTCTAATCTCAAACAAGAGTGAAGTGCAATTTTAGCTTTCGATTGACAGTTTCATCCTGCCCTTTCTATAAACTATCATCATATTCTTGAACTGAGTGATGAATACTTACAGGCTAGTTCATCATACTCATCCTTGCCCACAACATAGATGCTGACATCCCCAAGCACAGTGTAAACAATGTAAACTGACCTGATAATACATCAATGCAAGTCAAATAATGTAAACTGATACCAGATTCTGAGTCACATTTTTTTTTTATTAATTTAAAAATAGGAATAGCATTATTTCTGTGAAGGTCACAACTTTAATGCAAAAGGGAGTTCTTTGCTGAAGACTTAATTCCAAAAAGCTTTCCTTGACAAAAGAAATTTCAAAACTTTTATATGTTTTATTATACCCCAGCATTATATTCTCATTGGAGGAAATTTTAGGCTCCAGCTCAATTCTTGGATCCAATCCCCAAGGTATGTGATGACACTAGAACAACTAAGGCAATCTCAACATAGACATTAAGCATTAAATGTGCAGGACGAAAAAAGAGAAAAGTATACATACTTGTGGCAAGCAACAAGGAGCTCTTCATTTTTCACACCCCTAAGATTTTCTGCCCCTAGTTTGACTAGGAAAGATCGCCAATGCAGCCAACTCAAGAGTGCTCTTTCGTACTCGATATATTCCATACAGCAATTGCATATACAATATGCAACGAAGCAGAAAGATGAGGTCTTTTATAGCAAATGCTGTATAATTTTCACACCATGCTATACATGAATCGTTGTATATTGTTAACTATCCTTTTCACTTCTTAATCTGATAGGATAGTGTACAACAGAAAGCTATCCATTTAAACGTCAGCGATTCCCCATTAAACCATTTCAAGAAAAATAAAAAACCATCGAAGAAAAACAAAGTCCACCCGATTCAAACCATAAACACAAAGTAAAAGACAAACTATACAGAAATGAAATACCCAAAACACAATTCAGATCCAAGTCGTAAGATTTCCACGCTAGATTAACTAAACCCACAAAAGGGTATACCAAAATTAATAACTTTCGGTCAAAAACACCACAAACAGAATCAAAAGTTACAAGTTCATGACGTTGGAGAAATTTCAAACCATTTTGAATAAAGAACGGAAGATGTAGATCCGCACTTACCGTTCAACTAGGATGTTGCCTTCCGAGTTGGCGAACAAGACTGCAAGTATCATAGCTCGCTTGCAGAATTGAGTAGTAAATAGGTAGGATCAGTGTAAACCACCAATTATCAATTATGCGATAAACTTGTTTGAAAAAGGTCAAATTTTCTATACGATTCAAAGCTTTCCAAAACCAATCTGAGTCTGACTATATTGCAGAATTGGAACGTTACTGTTGCTGGTTTTGGTGGGAGTTGGTATCGTTTTCTTTGGTTGGCTTTCGGGGTCTTCTGCTCCTTCTACGCAGATCTTTGAGCTGGGTTCTTATTATTTATTTTTATTTCTTATTATTATTTGGTTGTTCCCTTGTTGCCTCGGTGCCTTTTTTTTTTTTTTTTGGTTGTTGTTGGTATATCTGGGCTGTGGCCTTTTGGTTTTGTAATTTCGGCTTCTCTGTTTAGCCTTTCCCCGTGGGCCAATAGGCTGATATTTTTTTTTTTTTTCCTTCTTTTACATCCAACGGTGAGTGACCACAAATCTCTTGGACCCCTGTAGTCCAAGAGATCAGGACTGTATAGTTTAATCATTATTGGAGGGTTCACCATATGAATTTGTTGGGCTTTCTGGTTGACTCTTAGGGGGGGTGTATTCAATTGAGATTTTAACAGATTGTAATTACATGATTTTAATGTAATGGATTTTAGCCGAATTTGTAATTATATAATTTTACTCATGATTTTAATTAGGGGTGGCATTTTAGACCGAAAAACCGCAAAAATCAACCGACATTATACGGCATTGGAACCACAATAGCTAAAAACTGACCGAAAATTACGATTTTAGGAACCGAACCGCAATTGCGGTTGTGGTATGTGATTTTGGCAACTCGCGGTTACTGCAAATATATATTTTTTTAAATTGCATTTTAATAGTTAGATGTTGTGTTTTAATTTGGTTGAGTTTAATCTATTATCAATATGCTTTTATATTGTTGTTTTTGTGTTGTATTGTGTTATAGATGGAGTCTAGCCACTCTAACACACATAATGCCATTAATCCCCCAAACACAAACCGATACACCCGAAACATAACCTCCACTCCATCTCATAAAGAATGGCTTCTTCTTATAATAAAATCCACTCACCACCACCTATACTTGAGTTAACTTTGAATTGGATTTTTCTTTAGGTTGTGAATGCTTGAGAAGTTGAGGTTGAGGTTGTGAATTTATATATGCTGGAGAAGTTGAGGTTGTGAATTTATTTCTTTAGGTTGTAAATTTATATATGCTTGAGAAGTTGAAGTTGTGAATTTATATTTTTTTGTTAAAGTATGCTTGAACTCAAAAAGCTTCAAAAGAAGCATCAAACCTAAACTTAAAAGTATGGAAGATTGAATTTTTCTGAGACAAAAAGATCTAAAATTGTCTAATTTAGGCCTAAAATATTCAAATCGGTTTAAACCGTTAATTCACAGTAACCAACCGATTTTTGCGGTTTACCGCAATGCGATAAACCGAAAAAAGCGATCGGTTTGCAGTTTCAAAAATCACCTTACCGCAAATAGTCGGTCGGTTTGCGGTTCGGGGAAATATTCGCGGTTACCGAACCGCAACCACCCCTAATTTTAATAGATTGCAATTATATGATTTTACTCATGATTTTAATAGATTGCAATTACATGATTTGTAATTACAGGATTTTACTTATGATTTTGATAGATTGCAATTATATGATTTTACTTATATTTATATATAGGCTTCAACTCTATTGCTCATCATCATTCACCTATACATAACTTGAAGGAATTTGCCCAATTTTTAGGATACATATACTCAATTTTTAGGGTTAATACAGAGATAGTGGCATAATAACCATCAAATGTTAGTCCAAGGGAAGTACACTGACATCAACAATGTAACTCCCAACATAACCACACATGACCAGAATGAATACATTAAAGATAATGAGAGCCTAGACATAACATGCAAGAACACCACTCACATGAGCACTCAACTACAAATGCAAAACTACCATTAACTCTCACAATCAAAATAATACAACATAAAACTGCAACTACAATGAAAAGAAAATCCACATAGCTAGCTTGTCCACTCCAAGAACCACAAAAGTTCCAGCAAGACCACCCAAGACCACTAAAGAATAAAAAAAAATTAAAAATAAAATAAAAAACCAAGTCCAAGCCAAAGTACCCACCACTCAGCTTCAACCACAACCTCAAGACCACAGGACCAATGCCACCGCTACTCAGGTTGGAGGGGAAACCAATCGAGACACACGAGCCCACCAGCTGAAGATTTTTTTATTTTTTGTTTTTATATTTATATCTTTTTGCACAGTAGAAAGCATGAAAAAATAATGGGAAAAAAACGTATGAGAGCATATATAAGAATAAGGCATAGGAGGGTGGGATTTCTTATGTGATTTGTTGTTTGTATTACATACTCAAAAATCTCACACAATACACAATTTAATGAAATATATTAAAATCATTAAGTTTTTGAATACCACCGTACTTTTTCTTATCTTTTAAAAGTCCTAATTGAATACCACCGGACTTGCATTGATTATTTAAAAATTATAATTGAATACCACCAGACTTTTGTTGATTATTTAAAAATCATAATTGAATACCACCAAACTTTTATTAATTCAATACACCCCCTTTAGATTCAGAGTTTTCTTTTTCCATTAAATTAATCAAATCTTGTTTTTTATCACTATGTTTTCAGCTTGTAATTTGTGACTTATTTGCCTTAACTCTATTATTTCCTTTTTGACTAGTTTTACTTCCATTGCAAATCCTGTAAAGTTACTTCTTTTCTTTTGTTGAATATTTCTAAGGTAGGGTTCAAACTTATCTCCTGTGACTTGTATATAATTGCAGGAGGTATAGGTTTGCTGTAAAGTTACTTCTTTTCTTTTGCTGAATTTTTCTAAGGTAGTGTTCAAACTTATCTCCTGTGACTTGTATATAATTGCAGGAGGTATAGGTTTGCGATCTTTCTTCGGTACGCAAGCGTACACCAAATAGTTGCAGTTACTGTTCATTAAAATAACATATAATTTTATCTTTGTGAAAATAGAGGAAATGCAATGGTGGAAAATAAAGGCAGGTAGTTGGTGTGCCCTCTTTCTCTCTCACACCTATTTCTTCTCTCTGTTGGGTTAGGGTTCATAACTGTTACTTATTCTTCTGAGTTTAATCGCCGCATGCATCGCATTAAATTAATAGATATATTCATTTTCCTTTTGAGATTTGTTTGTATTAATTATTTACTATGTTTGTGTAATAAAATTATTAGATATGGCTTTTTTGTTTGTTTTATAGAATGAAGGGAATTGTTTTTTATGCTCTGCCAACATAACATGCAGAGTGTAAAAGTGTCTCGTGTCATATGAATTTATGAGTCCCACTCTTATAGGTGTGACTTGTAAGACACAATATGTGAGACTATTATCCATTTTAATAAGTTCAGCCTCATCACTTCAAACAACGGCCAAGACTTTGACTAATTCTATGAGACACCATCTACCTAACAAAATAATCACATTTATTGTGTGTGTGAAAGAGAGAGATCTCCTCCCATTTAGTTTCGACTATTGCTTATACTAAAAAAAAAAAACCAATCACATTTATTCCACAACCTCAAAAAATAGATATTGAATGTCATTCATCTATTTTTCTCATCAAATGCCTACAAAGGGCGTGTGAGATAGAAAAAGTTCTTTTAAGTCTGATTTTTCTTTCATTAAAGAGTCTCCCCATCCAAAAAATAAAATAAAATTACCAAGAGTTTCTTAAAGTTAGATAATTAGATTTTTCATTATTTGTTTTAATGTATGTGTGGCATAGAAATGCAATATTTTCTGCTGGATCAAGAGATATTAGAGGAAATTAAAACTAGAGAGATTCACTATTATACCCAATATATGAGCCCAAATTATATATAAAAAAAACCATATATGAAATGGATTTTAGAAATACACCCAAAGCTCATTTACAACATAACAAAAAGACTTTTAAGTTCTTTTAAATTACAAAACTGTCATTAATTTCTTAAAACAAACCCAACCCCAAAACCTCATAAAAAAAAGCCTAAAACATTCAATAGGGTATCAAAGTAATTTAATAATCAAAATTAAATTCAATAAAGTCAGTTGTCATTTTTGGGATTTGTTTATAGAAATTAAATAGTGTAGGGTTTATTTATAATTTTAGTGCTAAAAATGAGTACATAACTAAATATCTCTTGTTCCAATAGAAAGAAGAACCCACGATTAGCTTTTCTGGAAATTTCCATTATATAAGGCAAAAAAGAAAATACATATTTCTCGGCTATATGGTGGAGACTATGCCTAAGCCCGTATGGCTAATAATGACATGCACCCAGCCCCAAGAAGAACTGATAAATTGGCCCCAGCTTGAAGCCTTAAATTGCTCTGCAGCTTTGAGTTCATAAGCTCGGCCGCAAGCATATCGACCAGCGACACGTAAATTAAAATACCCGCTGAAGCTGCGTTTAGAACGCCTTCAACCACAAGGGCTGTCGGGCTGTTTTCTGTATATATGTTCGATATTCCAATCCCGATTGCAACTCCAATAGGAGTTGTAAGGGAGAAGAACAGTGCCATGACTGCAGTTGCTTGAGACTTGAAATTCACCTACCAAAAATAAGAACATGAAAAAAATCCCGTCAATTAACGTCATCCAGAGTTTAATTGAACTATAGGAATCAATTAAGATGCATAATTAATGGCTGGTCTACTAACAAAAGAGAGAGAAAGGTAATGTTTTTGTTTCGTATATGCAAAGCAGTTACCTGAGCCATACATCCACCAAGGCCCATGCCTTCAAAAAATTGATAAAAGGCTAACGCGGCAACTAAGGGCCCTATGGTGTCTGGACTTCCAGAAACACCCAAGGAGATTCCTATGATGATGGAGTGTACGACAATACCCAACACCAAAACCTGCAACAAAGTACAAACAAAAGAATTAGTATTCAAAACATTAATTAAAACAAAATAAAGCTAATGGAGTGGGCCATATTAGTAATTATTATTGACTTGTAAACAAAACATTAATTAACATTAATCACCCTGTTCCTAATCAAAGTTCCAATGGCAGCAACCATCACCACAAACCCAGTTAAGGAAAACTTCCCCCACGGGTTCTCCTTCAGGCATGGAGACGTCAAGTTGTCGAAGGCATCGGGAAGGACATGAATGAAGCCGGTGGCCAATATGACACCGGCTGCAAACGCCTTGATTATTGAAAACAGGCTGCTGCCCGGATTTAGACAAGGTATCGCCTTCCCAAGAATGGGAATGCCAACACCCATTGCGCCGGCAAACAGTACGGATGCAATGGCTGCGACTTTTAATTTTAGGGCCTGGGGTTTGTGCCACTGCCCAGCTTCAGTAGCCTCAGCCTCACCGGAGCAGTCGGCGAAAACCACCATGGGAATTATTAGAAGGCATAAGGACGCGAAGATAATTGGTTTGTTCATTGTCAAAAAGTCGGTGAAGATCTAATAGAATTCTGAAAGCGAGGAAAGAGTTGATCTGATAGAAGTATTAGTTTGAAATTCAACTTTCAAAGTAAGAGTGAGGGAAGAGTTGAAGGGGTGGTAGTAGTACCACCTTATATAGGGAGATGATATTCATGTAAAATATCATGACAAGTTCGTGAGGGGTTCTGCTTCAACACAAAATTAGGCATGCGAAAGTTGCACATCAAAGAAATGCCTTCCTTCCTAACTGAATACTGATATACTCTTGTCTACGATAGAGTCGTGGGGATCAAACGCAGAAGTAATGTTGCGAATTTTTATCTGAATTCTAGCAGTGTTATAATACGTGTGGGGCATTTCGCATTATAGTGGGAGTATCAAGTCTCTGTATCGCCTCTTTCTTGTGCTATATTGGCTCTATATTGCTCTTAAGTTGGACTATGGTCTCTGTTGCAAGTCTCAAGTTCAACAAACTTGTCCATTAAGAATCCAATCGGCAAACAATTGGTGCAAAATCAAGTCCGCAAATTATAGATTAATAGGCTTAAATTCAAAATACTCATTAATTCCCAAATTATTAAATTGAAGCCCAAGTGGTACAAAACCACTCAAATTAAATCAATCTTTTTTTAACTACGTCAGTTTGATTCCGTTAAAGATACATACGCAATCTAGCATCATACTTGATGCAACTACAACCAAATTTGAATCATTGCTTACCTCGACCAAATTCCCACAAATCAAATCAAATCCATACCAACCATTTTGGAACTACATAATAACAGCACTAGAGATCCACAAATTGAGTGATCAAAATGAGATATGGTCCTGAATGGTTGAGCAGATTAACAATGCGTGTGTAAAGTCTTGTTGACTCTTTAATCTACTAAGCGTTGATGTGTTAAATTTTTTTATTTTTTTCTGGTATCTAATTTGATAGAGATACAAGAATATGCTAAAGTTGTCGTAGCATGATGTACCTGCAATTGATTGTACTATGAGCTCCCTTGGTTATCCCATGACTATTCTCTTGTCTACCTAATACAAGAAAAAGTATGTATGTAAAAAATAAAAAATAAATAAAAAAGAATAAATATGTATGTTGCAGTCTTCTCCCATTGAAAGTTGGTTATGGGAAAATATTATAGATTAATTAGGAGCAGCACAAGCTACATGGAGAGGAAATTTTAAGTTTAGTGCATCTCATGTGTGAAGTCGAATCAAAACTTATACTTCTGTTAATGGTACTCATTATTAACTTTTAGTTTTATTGTACCTTTAAGATTACACATATTCATGAAGAGTTCGAAGACGAAGTGTCGTCATTGAAGTAAACATATGATATTGTGGTACAAGAAAAAGCATAAATTCCACAATTAGTTTTCAGATCTGGTTCAATTCTCTCTTTTAATATAATTATGTGCCGATATTTGTCTTTTTCTTTCTAAATTTCCATTACTTAGTACGCAAATACATCAATAGTTTGAACCTTAATGTATATTAGGTTGGTGGTATGGTATCATTGGTCCCTTGGAGTTGTGTGATGAGAATGAGAATCGATGTCGTTGTCATTACACTGGTGAGAAAGTAATTTCAGTTTTTGACATTCTCCTGAATTTTCTTTATTTCATTTTGATTACTGAAATACTACAAGAAAATAGCCCTTAACACTGCTTAATTGACGTTTAAAACAACCTTAGCATGGTGTGGAATACATATTTGATTCTCTTAAGGTTTGTATTTAACCTTTTAGGCATCTTTGAACTATCTGGTATACCAATTTCATTTCAAAGTGACATGGTTAACTTCAGTTGGTTGGATTTCAGTGATGCAAATGAGAGATTTGAGACTTGATCGGTTTGAAGAGATTCTGACACCTAGTGCAACTCTTGCTGACCTCTTAAATTTGGTAAGCAAATGTGTTAATTTTTTTAAACTTGTATTTAATTTAATAGAGATGCATGAATGTACAGATATTTGGTTTTTATTTGGCCATGGGTTTTGCTAATATAGGTGTTTGGTTTTTGTTTTAGTATTACTAACAAGTAATATATAGGTATATGCCTGAGACTGCAATTGTTATCTCTTGTTGCCCAAATTTATGCTTATTTTCTCCAGCTACATACATAGTTTACACTGTGTTAGTGACGCGTGTCGTCCAGCTACAACGCCATGTGTTCTTTTTCTTGCCTTTTTTTTTGTTGTTTATCTAAAAAATTTAATAAAAAATTATACAAAAATCAGAAAAATATACCCAAAAACGCTACACACTCCTTACAAACCCTTTGATTTTACGGGTCTAAAATTATGATTCCACATATTTGAGTTCATAATAATAATTGGATCAAAGGAGCAAGAGTGTTATGTTATAGAAACAATAACTAGTTTTTTGGGTTTGTTTAAAATCTAATTTGCGTATTTTGTTGTCACTTTTAATTTTTATAAATAAAAATAAGATTTTTGAAGCTTCAAAGTGAAGAGAATGTCACAAGGAATTACTATGAATGTTTAAAATTAATTGACAGAAAAATTCATATTAAATTAAACGATTAACACGTGTCAGCTGCTGACAAGTGTGCACACTGTATCACTGACACTTGATGTCCTACGACGGCGCCACGTGACCCATTTTTTGTTATTGTATATCTTAAAACATTCACAAAAATTGATTTTAAAAAATCAGAAAAATACACTAAAAATTGATAAAAATTCCTTAGGACAACATCTTTGACTACGAAGTGCTAAAATCAAAATGACTTAGGTAAATTGAAAATTAACATTTGGAGGAAAGTGAATGTTCTTCAACTCACTCTCACATAATTGAGTTTGAAATTTTATTTATTTATTTTATAATTCAAAATTATATTTTGAAGCTTAAAAGATGATGAAAATGTCACCATGAGTTCGTAGGATTTTTCGGTTAACTTTTATTCAGTTTTTATGAAGTTATTATGAATGTTTAAACATTGAAAATAAGAATAAATTGAAGAAAATGATACGTGGCAATGGTTTAGTGGTGCACCGTCAGTGCTTCTGACAGGTGTCACTCTCCGGTAGCACCACATGTTTTTTACATTTTCTTTTTCCTTTTTGTTGTTGTTGTTTATCTTCAAAACTTCAAAAATAATTGATTAAAAAAATTCATAAAAATACAACAAAAATGGATAAACATTCCTTACCATATCATCTTCAACTACGAAGCATCAAAATACGAATCTTTCTTAGTGTCAAGGGACCGAACGACCATTGGGGTGCTAAGTGGATGAGTTTTATCTATGCCATATCGCTTTAATACTTTTTCAGTATAATTTGATTGATGAACCAGAATCCCACTAACACTATGCTCAATCTGCAAACCAAAACAATACTTTGTCTTCCAAAGGTCTTTCATCTTGAGTTTGTGTTTGAGACAGTGGCGAAGTTAGGATTTCATGTGTCTGGGGGCCTTTCACAAAATATAAATAATAAAAACTTCGAACTCACAAGACATCAAACCAATAGAGAATCACATATATAGAAATTTATAAATTAAAATTAGAATTTCACCAACACAAGTTCACAATTGCATTAAAGGGATAAATAATTACATATTACGCAAGAAAAATTACAAGGGATAGACAAATGCATACTTGGAGTTGAATAGCAATTTATCAAATATCTCCAAAGCCTTTTCCCTTTGGTAATCTACACATAAATTGAAAGAAACATTAAAATCAATAGAAATTAAAAAAAAAAAAAACTTGATAATATAATTAAAATTTAAGAAGAAAAAAAACTCACAAGCAACTGGCTAGTTTGGTCGTGTTTCTGACCCAAGAAAAGAGAAAAAGGCTTAAGTTTATTGATTTATACAAGAAGACAATATATAATAATAATTCTAATCCTTTTAGGAATGGGTAGTGTATGATTTTAGGATATTGGCCTGGTCAATAGGGCCCTCGTTGAAATCTACTTTGGCTGCTGGACCATGCCACTATGGCTTAACTTCTTTCGCCCATATGGCTTCTAAATATGTAGCCAGACTCCTGCATACTAGTACTATTTCTTTAAATAAAATTTCAGTGGGGCTAGTGACTGCACTAGTTCCCATGTGCCTCCGCCTCTGGTGTGACATAATCGATAGTCTTTTAGAGCTCTTCAGGAGTTCTGACTATATTCATGTCATTGACATATACTATCACTATCGCAAACCCGTACTTTGATTTCTTAATAAACACACATGGGCAAATAGAATCATTTGTTTATCCTTCCTTAATTAAATACTTACTAAGGCGATTGTACCACATTCGTCTATATTGCTTTAGCCCATACAATGATCTCTCAACTTAATTGAGAACATGCCTCGTGGTTTATTGGTCGCTACTTCAGGCAACTTAAGTCATTCTGGGACTTTCATGTATATATATGTATCTAGTTCTCCATACAGATATGTGATAATGACATCCATAAGTAATTTTTCCATTATATAATAAATATATAAATGGAAATTATTGATAAATAAATATATATTACTATTGGGAGGGCGGTAGAACTGACACTTTCCCATTATATAAGTTATCACATTGTGAGCAATATAACTGTGCCACTATTCAAGATATAATAAGATGGGTTTTAAAATCACACTACCATTTTTATTACGATAATGTATGTTACAACGTGATGGGCAATGAAACTACACCACCATAAAATAATAGGATGAGGGATAAAACTGCGTCATTCCAAATTATAATACGAAAAAATAAATTAAACAAACATGAATGAAACTAGGGCTGGCATTTTCTATCGAAAACCGTAAAACTGACCGAATCGGACAGAATCAAACCGGCTGATTCGGTATTTGTTACTCAAATTTCAATTTTCGATTTGCAAACTAAACCGAACCGCAGCAAATCGGACCGGTTGCGGTTGAGGAAATCCGAAACTAGCCGTTCATCGAACGAACTGACATG